GAAGGATGAAAACTACCCCAGACAGATACAAAAGGTAGTCCTGCTGTCTCGTCACAGACGAGAACAAGGTTCTGGGTTCAGACATTGTTCAGGCTTTTTAGAGGGACTGATCAGATTACCCAGTAATTATTAAGGTATGTGTATATTTATAATGAATGCGGTTATGTAACCCAACCTGTATAGCAAGTCCTGGCTGGTCATCAAGTATGATGTAAAGAGGAGCTCATCCTAGAATTATGCATACATAAAAGAAGAAAGGAACGCTAAGAGGGCCGCATTCTTTCACTCTGCCATACGGCATACATGGATGAAAATACTTTATTCACGTCCCCCAGCCCACCCCCGCATCAACAAAATTAAACAAACATTGTCGGGGAAGAGAGAGAATGTCACGCCCACCGAAAAGTCCCTCCGAAAGAAAAGCTCTGTTGTGGAGGAATGGTGAGTTGGCAGAAGGCAAGGCATGGGAAACAGAAAATAATGATAATAATTGGAGGAGGACTTGGCTAAAATATATATAAACAAAGAATAACAAGTTAAATCAGCCAGGAAGGCTAGCAGACCATTTGATGGCAAAGGGTTTAGTATGGGAAGATAAGGAGACTGCAGGGAAATATAATGCATTCTTTGCATCTTCAGGGTGGAAGATGCTGGAAAGATACTCATGCCAACATTGCATGCTTTTATTAAGGGAAGGCATCTGAATTCTCTGGAGCATGAGAATCTTGCTTGTTTAGAATACAGTTCCCAAGATCTCAGTCCCAGCAGCCCACTAGGAGGGCTGGAAGAGTGAGGGAGGAGATAGAAAGACAGACAGAGAGAGAGAGAGAGAGAGAGAGAGAGAGAGAATGTGTGTTGTCTTTGGGCTTTGGCCACCTCCACCATTGACTTTACCACCGCCCCTGGTGACTGTATGACAGAATGTTACTCTCAGTGCAAGAAAGGCTTCCCACATGAGGTCTAATCCTGCCTGAGGCTGCAATCTTAAACACACTGACTAACCACACCCATTAGGTTTCCTGCAACAATGAGCTCACTTTAAAGATGAGCGCTTGATGGCTTTGTGAAAGCGTGTCCATCATCGCTGCAGGCGTGGTAAGACTGCCTGGGGTCTCTTTTGCAGCCCTTCCCAAACTCATGTTGCCCAGGTGTTTCTGGACTATAAATACAATCATTCCCAGTTAATCTAGAAGGGATGGGGATTGCAGCCCAACAATACATGGAGACCTAAGCTTGGAAAAAATTGATGTAGATGGCATATCTTCACTTTAATACTGAACAACCAGAGTTTTATGAGTAGACCCTATAACAACAACAACAACAAAACACACCATCAGCATGGGTGGTGTTTAGGGCTGGCCTCGGTTGGACACTTGCTAAGAGCTCCACACCACAGCAGGGGTTAATTGACCAAAAATAAATGAATAAATAAATACAGTGGTGCCCCGCATAATGACGAATCCGCATAGCGACGAGGTTTTTGCGATCGCAAAAGCGATCGCATTGCGATGTTTTAGATGGCAAAACATCACTTCGTGATGATCGGTAAGCGTTTTGCTTACCGATTATCGCATAACAATGTTTTAAAAACAGCTGATTGGCAGTTCCAAAATAGCCACCGGGTAAACAAAATGGCCACCCGCAGTGTTTTCGCGCCCTTTCCTCGCTTACTGGGCAGCAAAAATGGCGGCCGGATGGAGGATTTTCGCTTAAAGGTGAGTTTTTTCCCCATAGAAACACATTAAACACGTTTTAATGCCCTCCTATGGGTTTTTTTGCCCCGTATAGCGACGAATCTGGATAGCGACGATTTTTTCTGGAACGGATTATCGTCGCTATGCGGGGCACCATTGTAAATAAAATCCTGAAAGTGGATACATGGGAAGGAAACAGATTTGTCTCCTCAGTGTGGAGCAGATACCACCGTGGTGTGAAAGAGTGGCACTTATCTGCCCTTTTCAAGTGCAGGGAAAATTCAGACCACCTCTGGAAAAAGAGGTGGAATAGATGAGAAAGATGCACTATTAGCTTATGGCAGCTCACTCTGTGGAGGTGAGACATCTTTAGTTGGCATCACTAGCCTCACGACTGCACATGAAGAAATTTTTGCTGTTACTTGTGTTCTCAAAAATGCCACAGTAGCTCTGGCACAGGTGTAAAAAACTATCGGCTCCAATCAGGTAGGAATGAACTTAATCCAAGTCACACTGACTACATACCAATATATCTCATGTCCCTTTTAAATAACAGTAATAATGTCTATCTTTCCGAGAAAGCCAATTGAGGGTGCAATTACACAGCAAGAAACATGCAAATGGATCTCCTGTGAAGTTTTACCTAGGAAGTTGGGTTTCCCTGGGTTAATTCACTTCTGCTGACCATGCAGGAATCAGCACAGAGAAAGAGGAGGAAATCAGCCTTGTTTGCAGCTTGTTTGAATCCTCTCCTTCCCACACTAGCTAACTGTGTTTGCTTGTTTCTCTCTTCCCTTCGTACTTCTTTTCTTTTTCTTTTATAGGCTTGCTGTCCTAGTGCTAGGCCAGCTAGGTAACCAAAGAAGGAAAAGACATGTTTGGCAGAGAAACCTTTTCACTTCAGCCTTGTTCCAGCTTCTTTTGATAGCTCTGAGCAGACTTGCAGGACATACACCTAGAGCACAGCTACTTTAAAACTTTCTCCCCTCTGTTTCACCATTTTGGTTACTCAACTGCCCCAGCACTAGATTAGTAAGCCAACCAGCAGGCAGACAGACGGACGGACGGACAGACGGATGGATGGGGGGGAGGAAGGACAGAAAGAAGGGCTAAAAATATTCAGAAGGCCACAGGTTTCTCCACTGAGAAAAAATGAGAGATTGCCTTCTTGCACAAGAGCTTCAAAAGGCATTTCCAAGCACACATGAACAACTAAGAAGCAAAGATTGGCATACAGTGAATTCACTTGTTCCAATATTTAATTCACTCTTTTAACAGCTCTCTTCTCCAGTAACCAGGGACATACTTGCAAGACATGCAGCGCTAAAGAGAAGCATGCTCTTGCCTCAACCGCCTTCTGGAAGATTGAGATGCAGAGATATTATATCCCTCCCTGCAACTGCTGCCCATTGTGGTTGGTGGAGTGAACCCTCCAAATGAGGGTTAGAGCCAGAGATGACAAGGAAAAATGGGTATTGATGGGTATACCCAACGGGGCAAGTTAGTAAGCATTGGCCCAAAGAGGCAAGCATTAAGTCATTCACTGTCTCATGGCCACTTCATTCAGTCATGCAACAACACAACTCAAAATGTTTCTGCCTGTCACTTCCCTTTGTGCCTAATTTCAGATCTAGGCATTCACATTAATTCTCCCATTTCCTTTCTCCATTGTGCAGGTGCATAAAAAGACAACAATTGTGAAGCCAGGGGTCCAGCTGGAGTAGAACACAGGGAGGGAGGTGACGTTAGTCAGGTAGGCATGGGCTGATTGAGGCCGCCTAAGCCTGAAGGGGAAGGAAGCACTCCCATCAGTCCTACAGGACCGAGTTTCAGAAGGCCAGCTTGGCCTCATCCACTGACCACTGAAGGGACAGAGGCAGAAAGAATGTTCAGATCCAAGGGCCAGCCATCTTGGGACGACGGAATCAAAGAGAAGCGTCTTCAGGTCCCATTCCTCGGTGAGAAGATTGCTGGGAAGGTGTCTGTGCATGGGTGTGTAACCTGAAAGGATGGCTGACTTACATCAATTTATTTTAAGTCACCTTCATCATCAACATCATCATCATCTTCAGCCTGCCGAGCGGGAAAGGACCCTATGGATCATCAAGTCCAGCCCCGTTAAGGAGGCACACTTGAGGGTCATTCAATAGAACGTAGACCTGAAAATACTCAGAAAATAGAAGAGACTCTGTGTGTGTGTGTGTGTGTGTGTGTTGATTGATTGATTGATTGATTGATTGATTGATTGATTGATTGATTGATTGATTGATTGATTGATTGATTGATTGATTGATTGATTGATTGAATTTATATGCCGCCCACTCTACCCAAAGGTCTCTGGGCGGCTTCCAATAATTAACCGCACTTCATCCATCCAGCCTATAGACTGCTCAATTTAGTGAAATCGCTACTCGGAGCAGTTTACAAAATATAAATATACAGTATTAGGCAATCAAACTAAAAAACAGGAATAAAAAAACTCACTTCCCAGTCAGACAGTCAAATTAACTAAAAGGCTACTCTGAACTGACACCAGCAACAAACCTCGAACGGATTAGAACCAATCAAAAATAAATATGATCTAACAAATAGCTCCTTTTAAGGGAAAAGGTGGGATGGGAAAAAAAAACCAAATAAAACAAAACATTAATCCAAAAAAGAAAAATGAAATATAACAACAGGTCACAGAATTAATATCAGATTTTACCAAAGGCATCCCTGAACAGTTCAGTCTTCAATAATTTTCTGAGGGACTGACGGTAAGAAGGGGACCTGCCTGATCTCTAATGGATGTTTATTCCATAAAGTAGGGGCCACAGCTGAAAATACCCGATTTCTAGTAATTGACTTTTTAATTTCCCGCCGGGTGGGCACCCTCGATTTGCAAAGCCTGAGAGGCTCCGGTTGGATGGGTAGATATTCTCAAAGAGGGGCACTCCAACATTTAGCAAAACCAATGGTCAGAAAAGGTTTTCGGCAAAGATAATTCCAGTATGTTGTGGATGTTTCCCTAACCACTTAAACTCTTGTGTTTTTGCATGGACAGCGCCAAGACATGAAAAGATCAGGGCCAATACTCTCACTAAAAACACATACCCCAGCAGCAGCCAATAAAATTATTATAACATTTTGAATCTGCTGTTTCTCCCACCAGTTATGTTTTTACATTTTATGGCAAGGCACCTCGAGGCAGTTCCCAAAGGTAGGATAAAATAAATTCTAATAAAAAACGAACAGAATTCAAAAGAGGTTGCTGCTTCCCTGCCCCTCCATATGCGCTACCCCAGATTTCTGTGCGACTTTTACCTGCAATAACTTATGCTCCAATGTTGCCAGCTCCAGGTACTGAGTGTCATCACGTGCCACTCGGTCTAAACGGTCTCGAATTTCCTTCAGTTTTTGCTGCTGGGCCTCCCAAGTTTCACGAGCTTCTCTTACAATCCCACGAGCCACCATAAACCTCTTTTCAGCCTGGAATAGGAACAAGAACAGCTTATCTTTGACATATCTGACAATATACTCCATTAAAGTTGGAGTGCTTATGTTAACAACAGTTATTACTCACTCTGAGCCTAAGAGAGGGAGAGTAGTGGCAAGCAAATAACAGATTTTTGAAAATGCATGCATTTATTTACATTTCCACCCTTTTTAACCCTCCCGTTATTTAACTGAAAACATCTAGGAATCTAAATGTCCCGTTAATTAAACAGTTCCAAATTAAAAATCTCTATCAATTAAAACAAGAGTAATAAATACCATTGAAAACCACACAAAGTTAAGGGCGGCAGTGTTTAAACTGGAAATCAAATGACACCCAATAAAGCAGCTAAAACTGTTTTCAGCGGCATGAGCATACTTAACTAAAAGCCTCTCTAAAAAGGAAGTTATTTACAGTGTGATGAAAGGTTACTAAAAAGCTAGTGGCCATGCAAAATGGGAGTTTCTGGGAGTACAGCCCAGAAAAGTAACTTTTCCAAGCTTTGTATTATTGACAATTTTAACACACCAGTAGGGCTCATGCAGCAAAAGATGGTTGTTCAGCTATATTTAATCCAGTAGTGCTTCTTACACTGTCCTTACCTCGGTCACTTTCCCCTGGGCCTCTCGGACTTCGCTGAGCCCCACAAAGTCTTCGTATCTGTCCCACCAGTTCTGGGCAGTTGTAGAGATTCGCTGAAAGGTTTTCCTTCCGAAAACCTTCCCAGCTTCTGACAGGCGAAGAAGAAAATGGGTAGCCATTTCCATCACTGCGGTTGCTTCAGGCCTTTTGGAGGCCGGCGAACAATACGTCCTCACGACATGCAAATGCATTTTGTGAGTCTTTAGAGCTAGCAAATGGTGGCGTTGCATCCTGGAGACCATGGGCAATAAAGCAAAGCACATGACACTTCATGGAAGCTACAAGCAGACTCCAGCCATTGTGAAAAAGATCTGAAAGAATACAAGAAAAAACACAATGTGAGTTTAAATGAGCTACACATACATACACACGAAAGTGCACAGAACCTAACGCACATGTGCATGGAACCTAAATGTGACTTTTCAAAGTTAACTAGCATTTTCTGAAATCTAGGACCAGGAAATCTAAAGAGAAGACGAGGATTCCACAGCTCCTCAAAAAGGATTTGCAGCTGGCAAAGGGGGAAAATGTCCTATAAGAAAACACAGTTACATAAATGGTTACCTAAAGCAGGGATAGAGAATGTGTTGCCCTGTTTGTTGGACTACAGCTTCCATAAATCCTAGTCACCAGAGGCAATGATGAGGAGTCCTGGGAATAGCACTCCAAAGAAACTGTACACATTGATTTTGGGAGGTGCATTTTAGAGAAGCATAAAGTTATAATCATAGCCACACATACGTAAGAACAAATCCCTCTTGAACCCTTGAGAGTTGCATTCTGGGTTACAGGATCATGGTTATCTACACTTCTTTGCAGAGATTTATCCCATGCTTTGCACTCATGCGAACGAGCACTACAGGTCTCTTTAAATATTTGCCGAGTCAAAACCAAATCCAGAAGTACCAACACCTCCCCCCCCACCTGTGTTCTATACTGGTCCAAACTGTGCTTGTGATGATTTTTCCAGGTGGGGAGGGGATAGCTGTGTTGCTCTGTTGCTGCCAAAATCATCAAGTGACTGGGGTCAACTTAAAAGTTTACTGGGTGTAAGGTTCTGCAGCCCACTTCATCAGTTGCTTAAAAACAAAACAGTAAGGCCATGACAATCTCTACAGGGTTTGAGAAAGTGATGTGCACACAGTTCAAGATTCAACAAATAGAGATTTTTTTCCCCAGCAGGAAAACAGGAAGAGTCACGTTGTTGAAGTCTCTTCTTCTTGACCGACTCCACCTGGCAAAAGATGAATGATGGGAAGGTCCATGGGATTAACAATCCTTGAGAGAGGAAGCAGGCCGGCTGGATAGCTCAGTATCTGCAGAGCTAGAAGTTGGGAGTTCGATCCCTCGCCTCGCCCCAGTACCTCCTCTGAACAGAGCCGAGCTATGTGGCCTTGGGAAAGCCACAGTGTCTCAGGATGCCCCCAGAAGAAGGAAATGGTAAACCACTTTTGAGCATTTTTTTAAACCTGGAAAGCCCTAGTCATCATGAGACAGAATTGACTTGACAGCACACAATTATTATTAGAAGAGGAAGTGGCCATCTAGAAGACGATTATGAAACCACTCCTAAATAAACCTTCCTTGGCATTGAAATTATTTCCCATGTATCAATGGGTTCCCAACCTTCCCTTGGGTATTTGTGTTGAGATTTTGATATGAAAATGTATTATTAATGTTGTTTAGTTAAATATAAAATGGCTGGTTTTACCCGAGTCACTGTACTGATTGTATTCAGGGGTGGTTATCAAGGATTAAGACTTAATGTGTACATGATGAAACTTTGTGTAACAGAAAATGAAGTAATGTATTTTCTGATTGGTCACAGAACTGTACATAAGGCATGTGTAAAATGAATGTCTTTATCTGCTGTTAAGTCAGATCACTTTTTCCTACGCTGTGTTGCTTCATGTCATGTTATGCTCCTAGAGGAATGTCTGTTCTCTCTGTATATATGTTAATACACCAAGCTGTTGGTTTTACTCTCTCAGTGACATAGTGTCATAAGTATCTCTGCTAACCAATATCTCCTTACTCTGCTGATGTTATGAGAATACACGTTATAATACAAAATTCTCAACAATTTGTGTGAAGTGCTCCCTTCAGCAACGCTGGTAACAGTTTCAACTCTAGACAGGCTTGGCCAGCATAAATGTTACAGCCATATCCATCCGGAGCTGTCTCTCACAATCCTGCTAATTCTTATGAGCCACACGACACACGCCCCTAGTAGGCTCCATTCTTACTTGGTGAATTTAGCAAGCAGTCCCAGATAGTGCTGTGAAACACCTGGTTTGTCCCTTTACTGTGGAATTCCAAAAGGTCACATTGATCCCTTTAGCATCCACATGAAATTGCAGAGGAAAGGTATCTGGCCATTTGGAGTCACCAGCAGGCAGGTGATATGACCATGACTTTTCCTGTTAATCTCTGAGCCCTGGAATTTCAGAACAAGGAGCAGAGATCAGAAATAAAGGGAGGGGAGCTAAATACATTCTAGCTCGGTTCCCAAAAGACAAAATGTTCAACTTCTTTTCTAGCTGATGTTGCATCTGGTTCTAATGTCAGCGCTTGCAAGCTGGGGGTGTGGACAGAGTTGCCGGGGGTGTGTGGATAAGAGTTGTTGCCTTCATTAGATGCCCAAGGGACATCTAGCTTCATTAGATGCCCAAGGGGCATCTTGCATACCCACCCGAATGGATAGCCTGCAGTGTAATCTGGATGGCTAACATCCATCCACATTACACTGCTATTCTATACCTGGAAGGGCTCAAAGGCCATTTGCAAAATTCTGTCGATCCAAAATGTGCTACCAGTTTACAAGCACTGCAAGACTATTTAAATTTGCAATTGAAGACTGCAGGCAGATACCCATCTATAATATACACACGTGCGTACATTCACACAACAGGCTATAGAAACGCTTGCATCCCTTTTTATATGGATCGGAAATTCTCTTCGGAATCTGGGGACCTTGAGGAACGAATGCACACCGCTTAGCTCATCACGCTGCACCCCACGCCGCCCTTCTCTCGGCTGCTACCTCTGCTCAACTTCAATGTCTCCCGCTCCCCCTTTCACCGCATCTCCGCTTACCCGTCCCCTCCCTCTGTGATCCCCTTCATTCACACAACTTACTATAGGTGAGATGGCACGTCCTGGTCACGTGTTGAAAAAAACCCCAGTCCGGAAGATACTAAAAAGACCACCCACGTCCTGGCGGAAGCGCTGCCTCCAAGGGCTCGCAGCACTGACTCATATGAGGCCGTAGAGGTAGCAGAAAGGGGGAATGACAAACTGCCTAGATTTCCGGTTCTTATTTTTCTATTTATTTATTTACCCTGCTTTTCTAGTGGCCATGTAAAGGAGGCTTACAACAACGAAAGACAACATTTAAAGTTCAAACAATGAGTATACAACGGTGGTTAACATAATTAGAGCCGAAAGTCGTCTATGGTAATCTCCCTCTCCAGCCCTTGGTAACTCGATAGTAAAAAAAACCCATTCGGAGTTCAAACTCTTATTGCAGAGCATGTGGTAGCCATAGGAATTTGTTGTTATATGTTGCCAAGTTGCTTCGGACTTATGGTAACCCTATGAATGAGCAATTTCCAAAAGGTTCAACCTGGATCAGCTCTTGCATACTCAAGCCTCTGACGTCCATCCATCTCGTATTTGGTCCTCCTCTTTTCCTGCTGCCTTCCACCTTTCCTAGCATTATTGTCTTTTCCAACAAATCCCTTCTCATAATGTGCCCAAAGTACGACACCCTCCGTTTCCTTTTTTTTTTCCTCCAGAGGTAATTCAGGCTTGATTTGATCTAGGACCCGCTTGTTCACCTTTTTTGACAGGCCAGGGTATCCGCAAAGCTCTCCTCTAGCACTTTATTTCAAGGAAATCCATTTTTTCCCTATCGGCTTTCTGTCATAGGAGTAGAAAATTCTATCTGGGTATCCCTTATTGTCTTTTTTTTAAAAACACTGGATTCGAGTTTTCCACTTTTAACTGGCAATAGGAGCCTCTGAATCCTATTTCTTGAGAGAATGGAGGGGTACAAATTTACTGAATCATCAAATATAGAGTGATCTCTACAGAAATGCCAATTTCCTGTCTGGAGCGAAAGCATCTTCCATCCGTATTTGAATAAAGCCCGGTTAAGAGTTTCTCTCTCTTTTTTTTAACCGGAAGTTTGCTCTATCCTCTCATTCTTCCTCTATGGTCATTTCTTTTACTTCTTCTTCCGTTTCTATGGTGAGGACCGTTCAGGGTCCGGGCGGAAGTGATCTTCTGCGACCTTCCGCTCGGTGGCCGGCGTGGTGTCCCGCTTTTCTAATTCCTCCCGGGGTTCCTGGGCTTTTGAGCGCAAACGAAGCACAAGGAAAGCTGCATTGTCGTTTCCAAGAGGGAGTGCCATGTCGGGCCGAGAAGGTAAAAGGGCCTCGTAAATGGCGGGGAAGAAAGAGGGGGGCGGCGGCGGATGGATGGATGGATGATCAGGGTGGTTGGCGGGATGATGGCGGACTCGATGGGAAAAAGGAGGGGGGAGAAATCTCTGCAATCTCTTCTTTTAAAGGAAGCTGGAAGTGGTTATTGTGGGTTTTTTTCGGCCAAACAGCCCGAAAAATCCACAACAACCATCGGATCCAGGCCTGAAAGCCTTTGAGAACACAGCTGGAAGTGCTAATTGGAGAGGGGAAGAGAACAAGCAGCAAATCGTGACGAGTGTATACCTAGGACGAGGGTTGATGTCATCCTCGACTACAACTCCCATTATCCCTGGGCAGCAGCCTTGCTAGCTGGTCTGATGAAAATTGTAGGGCGTGGAAGGGTGCTTGATGTGGGGGCACATTGAATAGGCTGGAGGAAGGATGCTGTAATTCAGATAAATAAACTGTGGCATTCCGTTGTTCGGTGCTTACTAATCTATTGTTGCTTCTGCCACAGGTGGAAAGAAGAAACCTTTAAAACAGCCCAAGAAGCAATCAAAAGAACTAGATGAGGTCAGACTGAGAAAGAGGATTACGTTAAAATGGAGGGAGGAGGGTGTTGTCAAAGCTATGTGATTTGGAAAGGTGGTTAATACTTGGTGAGGCATAACTGTAATGTTCAGATCAAGGATTCAAACTAGCAGCTGCTCCCATCACAAATGTGAGGCATCAGTAATCACTCATACTTTCTGGACTGTATCTGGAAGTTGAGTTGTGGCAACTGGACTTCTTTCTTATTAGGTTGAACCATTTTCTTAATAGGTTGAACCAAGTAGCTTCTTCAGTCTGAGGGGAGTTGGTAGGAGACACTACTTGGATGAGTAGCAAAACATTTCATCCTAATAAAAAAGAAGTCCAGTTGCCATGATTCAACTTCCAGATAACCTCATCTGGATGACTGAGAATCTTCACAGATAAATTTCTGGACTATACTGTTGTGTTTATGCTGACAACTGCTTGTCAAAAGTCTTTTCTATCCTCTCTCTACGTTAAGAAAGGGACTTCTTTTGATGGAATTTAACTATCATTTGGTACTTTTTAACTTGACCGTACCTTTGCTAACAAACATCCCAACAGGAAGACCGAGCTTTCAAGCAAAAACAGAAGGAGGAGCAGAAGAAATTGGATGAGTTGAAGGCAAAAGCCTCTGGAAAGGGTCCACTTAGTAAGTGGCTTTCTCTTAAAGTTCACACAAATGAAGAACTGTTTTCAGCATAATGTTTGTCATGCAGATACAAATTAAGAGGTTGGGAAAACATGGCTCATGGTTTGTCCTGAATTGAGAGACCAAATAGTTTTTCATGGTATTTGCAGCTTTGAAAAGTCAGCGCTTAAATCAGCCATTTTATTTTGAAGAAATACACTTGTGGGTTCTGATGTGACTTGTGCTCCAAATCCAGATTGGGCCCTGCACTTAGTTCCTATTGGAAACTTCTGTATACGTCTCTCTTCAGTGCTGTTTAACCTTAAAGGTGCCATTGCAGTGAATAGCACACACTGTTGTTTTGCTCACATTCTGAGGCTTGGCTATTTCCATAAACAATATATATTCTCTATCAGCGTTCAGACACAGACATATTTATGTGCATATACAGAGTGGCAGGTCCTCTTTCTCATATTTTCTAATTATTTTTCTGATCTCACTTGTTTGCTGTCAGGCTTATGGAGATATCTGCAAAAATTGGAAAATTCTTAACCTAAGGACAAGCCAAATGAAATGTCATTATGAAATGTCACCGTTTGTAGCCTGCATAATTAAATTATAAACGGCCCAGAGAGTGCTTTAAGTGCTGTGCAGCGGTATAGAAGCAATGTGCTTTATCACTGCTGCCCAGAGAGTGCTTTAAGTGCTGGTATAGAAGCAATGTGCTTTATCACTGCTCACAGTGAACGGCTCCCTACCAGTTGTACTTGCATGAAGGCATTTGATTTATGTCCATCATGCCATCAGATATGTCATTAGATCCCGGTACGTGTTCCCAGCACCATCTTTATCTTGATTGTTAATGCTAATATAAAGGTGAAGATTCTGTAGCTTTTCTGGGAGTTAAAAATGGTTTGGCATAATTGTAGATCATAGGAAGGCAGTATTTTGCAGTCTGGATGCCAGTAAGGCCCCCGTAGTCTGGAAGGATGTGCTCACACACCGCCTGCTGCCATGTGCTACTAGTTAAAAAGCTGCAAGTTACTTTTAGATTAAAAAAGGCCTTTGGGGAGTGTTTACCTTGTTTTAAAGGACAATCATACTCCTCATCAAGGAATTTTCCTTTATTGAACCTTAACAAATCCTGGACTGAGAAATGTGATGCCAGGTTTTTGCCTCCAGTACAACATCTTCATGGTTTTCCTTGACATAAACTAATTGTGGCCTCTCTTCTCTTGCAGCTGGAGGTGGGATTAAGAAGTCTGGCAAAAAGTAGCAGGTTTGGCCAGTACTATGTTGCAAGAAGGAAGAAACATTTTGCTCCCCTCAAATGCTTAGCCGAAGGATGTGTTTCCAGGCTAAAGCCGTTGGAAACATTGCTTTGAGCACCTTTGTGTATTTTGTTCAGACAAAATAAATGTGATGTGTGTGGTCTTTGTTAATGACTTCTTAGGTCTCTGGAGCGACATCTTTTCATTTCTGGTGTTCCGGAGAAAATACAGTGCATCAGAGGTTACAATTCAAGGTTGTTCAGAGCTGCAAGAACCACTGAATTGAGAAATACTCCAGTTGCTGTCTAAATATAAAGTTGACAGAAGTGTGGGTGGGCAACAAATGGATTACTTGGTTCAGTAGAAGAGGGCAAAGATCTCATATTTAGAGTTTATATGACATGCTTAATGCAAGGTTTGCCAAATGTCTTTTATTGGGCATTTGGCCTGGTAAAAAAACAGCGACTTCCACTGTCACACTGGTGCTGTCTAGTTTCCCTCTCCTGTCTCAGAATTCTTCTGCACTGGTCTCTCTCTTACCTACTTCTTATGCTCCCCTACCCATGGTACACACAGAGATCTTACCAGTTTCCTGCAAATAGCCATGCTGAAGGATCTATTAAACGCTACCTATCAATGGTCCCAGTTTGTGCTATGGAACCTATTTGCAGTCCATTTAGTTACATTAGAAAATCTGTAATATCTAATCACACTTCAGGGTTTCTAGCTGTCATTATTTCAGGATACGTAGGACTGTAAAGGAACTAATTTTTAAATGTAATTAATGCACATGTTTAAATGAGGAAATCAGTCATTTCTGTGCAAATGTTTATGCTTCTAGCTAATGTTTTGGAGATCTTTCTGGAGAAACAAAGGGGTTTAGGGAACTGATTTCAAGATGTAATCCATTAACAACTGGGAAACCAGCTTTGAGAGGTAACTAACTCAATTGTTCCTGTTATTTAACTTGAAATCATTATCTATGCAAAACTTTGTGTGTGCTTCTACCTCTTGCTATTTCTGAAATGTGGAGCCAAAAATGTGGGAAACCAAATACAATTCAGTTCTTTGGAGTCACTTAAGTGGTAGCATCCCTATGCTAAGTGTTGTGTGTTTCTAGCTCTTACTGGTCAGAATCCTGTTATGTAGCAGAGTAATTTGCAGTAGAGTAGGCCCATTGAATCAATGGGGATTTAACGGGTCAACTCTTGTAATTTCCATTGATTCAAATGGGCCTACTCCATCTGAAAATCCTGTTGTTCAGCTTTATACAGCCTTAGGCTGATGACATCATCAGCTTCAGCATTTTTTTCAGAAATTACGGTAAGAATTTCTGAATCCTGCTTCCTGAAGTTCCTCAGGTTACTGTAATTAATTTATTTTATTTGTTTTATATATAGACAGTCTTTTCCCGATAAGGGGACCCAAGGCAGCTCACAGGATTAAAACAACAGAATTAAAAACAGTAAGATATACAGTAAAAGACAGACAAACTGTAAAACTGAATAAAATGCAATTGAATAATTAAAAGCAGATTCCTGTGGGGTCCTTTTTATTGTAGGGAAGACACTGAGGGCTGCCAGATGGGATGGGAATTTTTTTTGAAAATCATTGCTGTCAGTAAAATTATCCTGCTGGTGATAATTTTTTTGGAAATTAAAGACTTGCCCCTTCCAGACCCCCAACAACTTCTGCATGATGAAAGGGAGCCTTGGAGCCTCCAGGGTGAGTGGGGATCAGAAATATACCCGAGGATGTCATCAGCCGAATGCAGCATAACATTTTGCAATGGGATTTCAGCCATTGTATTTAGGGCCAGATGGATTAAGAGGAATGTATATTTAATCCTCTTCCGATTTCCCCCCAAGGTATGCCAGTTTCAAAGGCAGTGGTTCAGACATGCAGATGAAACCCAAGTCCTGCATATTGAACAAAACAACCATATTCTAATTTGTGGATTGAGACAAGCCTCTATTAGAATTAACAGTGTTTTACTTCCTAAGGGAGCTCTGTCTCGTTGGGTGCTAAGGATGTTGGGAAGACCTGTGGTGGCGACACTGAGATGGAGCTTTGATGCAAGTGCATCAAAAATACACTAGTATTGCTCCAGAAGGAGATACTTTTGGAAGTACAGTATCTCCTTCTGCAGCAATACTAGTGTATTTAAGTCATTTGTTCAAAACTAATCTTTTTAAAATTTTAGTATTATCTAGAGGCAATGCCAAAGGGTTTTTTTAATGATTGGTTTTATATGAAGGTTCCTTTGGTATTATTTACGGGGTCTAGCTGGCTGGTTCACTGGCTTCGGTGTCTTGCTGTAGAGCCAGAGGTTGGGAATTCAATTCCCTATTGTGCCTCCTGTAACTAGAGCCTCTACATCATAGGTTCCCAAACTTTTTTGCCCCGTAGACCACTTACCGACTATTTTGTTTTCCGTAGACCCCCCTGCCTACATTTTCCTAAACCTTTTAACTTCAAATGAGTTATAAGGGGTTTTTGAAAGAGTGCACGAGAGTAGAAACGTCTGTCACACTCCTATTTCTCAATTATGAATCAAACAAGTCCATGCAAAGCTTTGGTACAAGTATAAACAATTACGTACGCGCACGATGTGTGCACCCGTATAGCTCAGTAATGACAAATGACAACATGTCGTCGATCCCATTTACAACACAATGGCATTTGCCATCAAATTTTACCAATAATTTTATGAACTTACACATGAATGTAGCACACCACAATACGGATAGTCCATAGTACCTAATTAAATATTATGAAATACTATGTACACAGAATCTGTGTTTGGTGTAATTACAGATCGCCTAAATATTTATTATGATCTGCCTAATGGGATCTGCTCACATAGACTCCCATGTACATCTCCTGCACTCCTAATTTTTTCTGTCTCTGATGTGGCCCCCCTGCAAGTTGAAATCGGCCCCTGGGGGTCCATATAGACCACTTTGGGAACCTATGCTCTACATGGTAGAGCCCTCTAGGAGTTCATCGAGGTATCTCCTAGTTGCCATCTTCAGCCTCCTCCACCATCACATCAGCAAAGCATGTCTCTCTCCTTTTCCTGGTCCTCTTTTTCTGCCTCCAGAACTGGCTTTATATCCCCAGGCTCCCTGAGAACAGTTGTCCACTCTTCTCTCTTTTTTTTTAAAGAAGTTTTTATTCATTTTCAGTAAGGGTGAGGCTTGGGGTGTGGGTACAAGGGAATAAAGAAGGAAGGAATGAGGATGGGGAAAGGGTAAAATTCCAGAGAGCAAAAGGTTATTCTTACATCCACTTATTTAATTATGTTAAAAAAGGGAAATTACATAAATAAACAACAATTTTTTCCAGACTATCTATAGTTACTACTCTCCCCATTCCTTTGAGCCTTCTCATACTTCTTTTATCTATACTTTCCAGTCCATATTTCATATCCAAAGTTGTCCCCCTCTTCACCTGAGTCTTCTGGTGTCATAATTCTAGAAATGTCAGTAGGGATACTAGATTCCCAGGCCTCAGGGTTTTTTGGGTGTCCCCAGAAGACCTGAATGGAGAATATTAGCAAATTGTAATGCTCTGCAATCTGCAGTCTGAAATAGTCCAATTCAAGGAAGACCTCATAATGTGATTTCACATCCTTGGTCTCTTTGCAGATACTGTGCATTCTGCAGCAGTTGTTCTGATGATTTAAGTGTCTTGTTCAAAGGTCCATGGTGAATGTCTCTGGTGAACACCCTTTGCTCCTTTCTGTCACCTTCAAATGCTGCTTTCCCCCCAAACTTTCTTGGCAAAGCTACACAGACTGTGGTTCTGCCTCCTTATAAATAATTTCCCCAATAGGCTCAAAAACTTTGGGTAATGCTTATTATTTACAGGCCTTGCAACTGTCATGCAGGTTTTTCCTCTTCATTGTCAAAGATTTTGCACATTGGGATGGACATAGGGGCTTGATGGTACCAGCAATCCATGTATTGTCTTTGGAGACAGCTTGGAACAGTACTCTGAAAATTCCTCAAGTGATCTAGGCTTGCCTTTTTCCCCAGCCACTGGGGCAGAGGTTTGATTGTATCAAGACATTTCCCTATCAGGCATCTTTTACTACAAATGCCTTTCATACATAGAATGTTACATACAAAAATTTCTTGCTCTCCACATAATGCAGCAATATGACCTACAGTTACATCCTGTTCTTCTTCTGGCACTGGAGGAGGACAAAAGAGCAGGGTCCTTTCCACCCAAAAATTCCTGTCATCACTGTAAGTGCTTACCATCCCTCCTTTATTTTACATTCTCTTTCTTCAACAGCATGGACAGACAGGATGGTTCCTTTCAAGTGAAGATGGTGGCAGGGTATAAAAGGCCGAAGTGCATCAAAATAAGAAGTAAAGAATAGCTATTCATAAATTCCGGCTATACTGCATTTCTTTTTTGTGCTGTCCACGTACCTTCCTACATCAAGTTCCATGGGCTACTCTGTAGACAGTCGACAGTCAGCTGATCTTTCTTTTTTTAACATTTGCATTGCTGAAAGATAACAGATAGCCAAAATGTATATATGTAACCTATACTGTATTTCCTTCCTTTCACCTGAATGAAGATACAGTATAAATATTCCAGTAATGATGAGTCTCTCTTCAGTGCCTGCAGACACAATACATCTACAGCCGTGGTTCATAATTCATCATCGTCATATGGCAGGCAGTCGTAGGCAATATCACCTATTTTTTTTAATCCCAAAGAAATTGTTTTTTTCAAATAGTGTGTTGCAACAGCAACTTCGCTTCTTAAGACTGTTTCTCATGGAATTTTGTATACTTAGGTCAGATCCCTTGAAATACAGCCGTCACGAAGGCTGTATTAACACCAAGGAGTAACTCGATAAGCACAAGGAATATTAGGTGGTGCCATACAGGGAAGCTTGGTTGTTTTGTGCTAGAAAATAATTATTTTATACTCAGGCATTCACATCTGAAAAGAAGCCAGAAGCCAGTAAGAAATGGTATTTACTTGGCATGTCATTTTAAAGAAATTAAGGGTTCCTAATAGAGCATTTATTTTTCATAATGCAACTGACTCTGTGCTGTTTTTGTATTTTGCCTATCATCCATTAGTACAGTGGCAATTTCCATGACATTCCATGCTATTTTGTTCCTCTCTTTTTTTGTAATCAACTTGAT